GTGCAGAGCAGAAGCCTATTTTGATTAATATAATTTCTTTTGCAGTAATATAGCCATGGAGTGCTAATGCTTTTTGGGAGATGTTTTCTGACTTCCCAGTCTTGCCCATAGCTGTGGTTTCTAGGATGTCCCCCATTCTAAATAAACAGGTCTAATCCTGCTTAGCTTATGAGCCCAGACAAGTTAGCCATACACTATTGTCTGCAGAGCCTTATTTAGAGAGGAGACCCCAATCAGCATTCCTTCAATCTATGCTAGCATTCTGAAGATATTGATGCTAATCGAAGCAAAATCTATTGTTTGAAAAGACTATCACATTCCACAGAGATGAAGTTGGCTCAGATAAGAATGAAGCCTTTGTTTCTATTCCGCTTTCCTAAGAAGTGACATTAACTTAAAGACCAATGGGATCTATAGAGAAGGGGAAGTTATTACAAGAAAGGTTTAGAATAATTTGTTTCCTAGGCAACCTGTTGCAATCTAAGCCCTTCTAGGCACATATACCCGGATTGCTAGCTTGAACATTTACAGAATCTTTGACCTGTGGCTGGGTTTTTCATTAATAAATTGTACTTGTACTAAATTAATATTTTATAATTATAGTATTCTTAAATAAATATATATTATAACATGATAGTATTAATATTATACTGATCATTTTAGGAACTAAGAGGTTATCCCCACCGCTGTAGTCACCAAATGACCTCCATGGTTAAGTGGGATCTCATCCTTAATTACATTAATTCTGCCAGTGTTCTCCTTCCTTGCAATTTATTATGAGGAATATACAGAGTTGATTATGGAACTGGCATTTATGTCACTTCTGGCATTTCATTACTTCTGTTCATTCATCCTTTTTCTACCCAGGTAATGCTGAGCCAATTGTTCAGTACATAATGTTAAGACTTTGCACCATGTTGCTTCAAGAAATTATTTTTATACTGTCTTCATACCATGGATGGAAATAAAACTGAAAGGATCAAGAAGCCTAGTAACGTCTGGATAGAAAAGCCATGGAGCAGAGGATCAGAACTCAAAAATCCAATTGAAAGTCTTAACAAGGAGCACCGTGTAAGCATTCTTACAACCATAATCCTAAAGCACCAGAACTGGAACCAATGTCAAAAACTGAAAAAATACTTTTTACTCTGTTTTATTCCTACAGATTAGGATTAAATCATGTAACATTCTCAAAGCCATTTTTGAAATGTAGAATAGAACCCCGAACCTGAATTTAAGAGGCTTCTTATAATAAATAATTATTTTAAGACCTTAAAAAGAATACATTGCTCTGCAAATGATGGAGAGTGACATTCAATAAATAAATAATTATAGTGAAGCTGCTCTCTGTATCCATAACAACCACTATTTGAAAAGCCATACAAGATTTTTCATCTATAAGAAGCATTCAGAAAGCCTCATTTAGTTCAGGTTATGAGTTTTTGCAAGCATATTAGACACGTGCAACCAAAAATAAATAGCACAGAAAACAACAGTGGGCATGTGCAACTTTTATAGATAAAGCAATCTACATAAGATATTAGTCATTGACACGTAGAAATATATTATATATCCCTTCTGCCTCAAATTCCTGCAAATAATGTTATACCCCTCTATTATTTGTACCAATTACCCGAGTCGTTAAATGTTCTGTTGAATCGTTGGTGCTCTCTTGGTTATTTTCTTGTAGATGTTTCATTAAACAACTAGGCAACATCGTCAGTGCTAGAAGGGAATAGGGTTTGCCCCCTGTTTATATTCAAATGGCTTGCTAGTTAGTGAGAGTGTTGTTGTTGGTCCCTTCATTAGGCTGTTGCTTGATTGTTTGAGTTAGTACTTTCCTAACTGGGCATTGTTTACTGCTGGATAGTTGGCTTGGTATTAATCTTGGTGTCAATCTCTGCATATCTGGGTGTTGATTGCTGGTGAGGAGATGTTGTGGTCTTTTTGTTTCCTTTTTTAGCTTTTTGATTTTCTCCTTTAAATGGTATGTGGATGTTGTTGGTCTCTGTTGATGACTGATTTGTCTGAGTTCCAGGCTTCCAGGAATTCTCTAGCATGTTTGGACTTAGTCTGATTTAGGATGCTCACAGTTTCCCAGTTTAAACTAAGGCGAAGTCTGTCCCTGTGTTGGGCAATTAAGGAGTTTTCGTCATGTCTTCTGACTTCTAGTTAGTGTTTATGGATGCATTTTGCTAGTCTTTAGCCCATTTATCCTACAGAGTGGCTGTTATAGTCCTTGCACTATATAACAAATGAAATTTGTTTTAGATGAAAATTGTGTATAACAAAGTCATATTTGAGATTATAGGGAAGCCAAGATAGCTGTATTACAACTCTTAAAATCTGTTCAACGTGAATTGTAACACGATTGTTATCTAACTCTTGATTTGTGCTTGGTTCTATTTTGGGAAAATAAACTGGGTAGCCAGTTCTCCTGTATTCTACTGATTGATGAACAAAAAGGTAGAGGAGAATGATGCTTCCATGGTTAAAGCTTTTTCAAAGTTATGACATTTACGATATTCAGGAGAGCAAACATATAAAAATATAAAATGTCTCAAATAAGGGTGCACTGTGCCTGAAAATGTAATAACTGAGACCTATAGTAGTTTTGAAATAGCTTTTAAAAATGTATAGCTGCACATATAATGGAATTCATTCATTTTTTAAAAAATCATGTCCTACTTTTATTACTTTTATAAGTAAGTCAAGGCAGCAAACACATCTAATGTTCCTTCTTCCTCCTTTCCCCCCCATAACAGCATCCCTGTGAGATGGGTTGGGCTGAAAGAGAGTGGCTGACCCAAAGTCACTTAGTCGGTACCTTAACCATTAGACCTGATGCAACAATTGCAACAAAAATTATTAGATAACGTTTGAATGAGACAGAGATAGTACAGTTACCTTGCCTTCAGCCATTTAAAAATCCCAGTTGAATTAAAAAACAAACAAACCACTTTTGCTAGATCCACTCCAACAGCTCAGTTTGTAGACATACAACTGTATGTCTACAACTGTAGACATACAATTATGCTAGTGAATGTCAGGTTTCTATAATAAAAGCAGTCTTCTCCATGATTTATTAGTGGACATGAGGATAGACTTGGCATGTATCATTGAGATCTAGCTGAATGAACAGGGGACTCCTTCTCATGGAAATCTGCCCAGCCAGATTTTGTATATTGTGTCGGTCCAGACACCAGAGCAGGAAAGGTAATATGGCTATTGTGCACTAGAGACCCTACCTGTTGTGAAGAGTGCTGTGTTACTGGTCAGGTGTGAGGCCGTGCTCATTATACAAAGAGACAAGATGGGAGCATTGCTATTATGACAGCATCCTTTAACAAACTGGTCGATCTTATCCTGATCCTTAATTTTATTTTTATTATTACTATTGAGATTTATGTGGTGCCCATCTCACACAGAGCAACTCTGGGTGACTAATAGAATAGAAGCATCAATACATAGCTTTTGCATAGCTTTGGGGGGTTGATGCCTTACCAGGAACAGGATGCACTGAAGATGGGAGTTGTTGGCTTCTTTAAGAGTAATGGTGGAAAAATATACTTATCAAATGTGAGTGTAAACGGTTAAATATATTTTACCTATTGGGAAGAAAGCTTAGGTGTGCAATTGCCCAAAACAATGTAAGACTATCTTCCGAGTGTACACTTGATCATTCTGTGATATAATTAATCAAAATAATATCATTTTTAATGTAAAGATTACATGTATTTTCATATGTATGATAAATAAGGTTTCTCATTCAAGGCACTCTTTTTTAAGCTTAAAACTGGACAAATATCAGATTAAGCGTATAGCAAAAAAAAATTCTATCTACACAGTAATTTGAAATTATCAAATCTAATATCAACCTTCATTTATTAGGGTTATTTTTAAGCAATCAAAGAAATGGGCCAGCATAAAAAAATTATACTGCTAAAGCATTATACACTAGCTAGGTTGATCCAAACTGTCCAGATGGTAGCCTTTTGCCCTATTCTGGGTAGACAGAACAGAATCTCCATTACATTTTATAACTGGCATGATTAAAGGCAAATTGTCTGTATGCCTCCCAAAATTCCTTTAGAGAAATGGCTTAGAAGCATAGGAGCTTCCATCTTAAATTGCTGGCATTTCAAGTAGAAATTGGAAAGGCTTCTCTCTGAAAACCACTGCTAATAAGAACAGACGACTCTGAAAAAAGATTATCTCGGCTTATGGCAGATTCCCTGTTCCTAAAATAAAGGGCATCTGGCAATCCTACATGCCATCATGTGATTTGATTAAGACGTGAGTTCACAAACAACATTCTATTCTTGCAATCAGTTGAATATTTCCTGATCTGTGTGGAGACAAGGTTGAACAAATCCCTCTATTTTGTTTTGGCTTAACTTCTCATTTCCGATATTACACCCCGGTTTAGCCTGCTTCATCACAATGTGCAAACTTTTAAAATCCATATGGAAATAGGCATGCAGTTTCATATGCATTTCTCTAAACCTGCACATTGGGCAGACTTTCCATAAACAAATACATTTTTGTATACATTTTTGAATGGTAGATATGAATAAAATGGAGAGACTGTAGCCTTTCATTATAGAGTTGCATTTTGGGACCAAAGTAGATTCAGGAAGGAAGAATTGGGCAAATCCACATCAACAATTAATGGTATGGTTTTCACTATGCTGGAACCTTTTATTATGTATCAAGCTTGGATAGCAGTGATCATTCAGAAACCATACCTACCTTAATTAGCCATATCAGACAAGAAGTTGAAAAGGTTCACTGCAATTTATTTTATTGATTTTATTTCATATCATTCTTCCTCTTGAAGTTCAAAGCACAATGAAATAGAGCATAGCCCTTTTCTTTAAACTTGCAAGCAAACTCTAGACCACATATTACAATATCAGATCCAACACAACAAATGAAGTCCTGGGACCATTTTATAAACTCATAATCAGGTGAGTGAACAGGCAAGTTTTTCTTGTTACCTGAAATTTGTCGACCTGAAGATCAACTGTGCTTGGTGAACGAGTAGCAAGAAAATCCTATGGCAAAACAAGAAGAAAAAGAAGAAAAAAACCCAGTTCTGAGTGGAATTTGAACTTATATTCAGCAAACCCTACATGGCTTTCTATGCAATTCTGAATATGTCTGTTGGAAAGTAAGCTATGTTGAGCTCAGCTGGATTTAACTCCAAGATTAGTATGATTTAAGCCAGGTTTTTAATAAAACTGAGAGCTGAAGTCAAAGGACAATGACAGGAAATCTTTTCATGGTTAAATGCCACACTTAAAAAAAAGTGGCTACTAAGAATTAAGGGTGGAATTTTCAATCTCTTTTTCCTCCTGTTTGAAATGGCATTACAGGAATATATGTAGTTGAATTATGCTGTGGGAGGTTTAATACCTCTTATTTTCCTTTGCTTTCCATAGTACAAAAGAACCCAGGAGAAGAAAGGAAGCTTTTGAACAAGCAAATACTGTAGACAGACAGAAACTTTATTTTGGTCATTGACCAATCAAAATATATTCAGTAAAACAAACAAAGCAAATTTAACCCCTAACATCCATGACTAGTGGGAACCACTGGTGGGCGAAGCTTACGCATAGCATAGCAAATTTTTAGAGAGATAGATACCCTACTAGTCTAACAAATAATGCAAATAAAAATTATTGGAGTGCCCCACAAATTTAGATAAAAATGGGGTAATTGGCTGGTAGCAAATGTCCCTTAGAACTGACAGTACAAAACAATTATTGGACTGCAGTTTCTATCGCACCCGTGTCCCAGGGGCAGTGTCGAGTTTCATATTTCAATTTCTTTCATATTAAAGACCATTAAATCAAGTTAAAGATAAAGTTCTCCTGAATTTGGAAACAGTGATGTGATATAAATATAAAGCCAGTATAGAAGGTAAAAATTGGTTTTCTGCAAAAGTGTTGCAAGAGATATTTTACCAACATTTCTATATTTCAGGTATAGATACCAGTTTGAGGGTTGTTCCTAGTCACATTTTATTTGCTATGATTTATTTATAACTAAGAGGAGCAAGACCGCAGCTGTATCATTTCTGCAGGTAGAATGTTCCAGGTTCGACCTGTCATATCCAGTTAGAGTTAGACAAATTGAATGCTATCCTGGAGAACTATACCTTTAATCAAACTGAGCTACAAGTACTAGTTACTGACTAGCTATAAGGTAGCTTCCAGCAATCCTAAAGATGAAAGCATTGGTACAACTGACAAGATAGAAAAACAATTACATTTCTTTTTCTTTTCTTTTCTTTTTTGGCTGTGAACATTGTAATTAAAATAGGAGTTCATTCAAGTGATTTCACAGTTCTTCTACCTTTCTGACTTCGAAGGCCATCAGTGACATATTGGCCTTTCTGATCCTTTAAACCTTTGCCCTAAAAATCAGTGATAGTAGTATTACCTTTATTAGCTAGATGACAGTAATGAAAGATGACATTGCCTTTCAGAAGATGCTTTCCTTTCTCCTTAGATTTCTTAGGAAATAACTAGAAAAGGCAGGGGCTATATTCCAAATAGAGTTCAGAAACATGTTACATTGTGCTTTATTCTAGAAGTAGTTTTGATTTGAGTTATTTTCCATTGTGGTCCAACTATTTTAAACACAGACACACACCCAGAAACTGAAGACCCTGGAGGAGAGATTAAGCAACTGGACCATCATATTAGACCTATTTCTTTGTAATGTCAGTAGAGAGTGGAGTTTAGAATAGAGGAGCTGTACAGTATATTATGATTGATTCAACAGTACAGTAAGGCAAAAAAAGAGGTTCTTTATAGCTTTCTCTTTGTCTAATTGGCAATAAGCTAACCAATAGCTAAGATTTCCACAAATTCCACAGTGTATGGATTATGCTTCAGTGTATCTTGTCTTTTCAGAAAATAAAGAAGTCAGAAAGAAAAATAACAGAAAATAGCTAAAATAGCTTTTATAAATAAGTGTTTTCAGTAGTTGGTAGAAACCATTAATCAAAACATTTCTGTCTGCCCCCTCCTAAATCTAATCAAAATATATCTTGTGGATTAGATTGAAACTTCATTTTTCTATGTTTCAAAAATTCTATGGAAATGAGAAATTATGGTAAATTTAACTGGTGACACCATTGTACATTGGAATATCTTGTGAGTATTATTTCTCCCTTCAAAAATTTACCTACCTTCTAACATCTATAGAACAACGTAGTGGATCAATTAATCTAAAAGACTTCTGCATGGAGAATTAATTTGAGCAAAGTTTGCTCTAGTGAGAAAATACATATATGTCTGCTACTCAAGCAATATTAGATCAGCTAGTTATCTGAAGGATAAGCCACAAGATTATATTTTGGCTAATGTAAGTATTATTTAAAGTGAATTAGTATCTCATTCAGCTTTAAGGAAAGCCATATTTGGGGGTCAAACCACGTATTACAGAAAACATTTTTATTTCTATTTGTATTTTCTCCAAAGTATACAAATATACTTAAAGCAACTAGTGGATATAGAAAAGAGAAACTTAATTCTTCCTTTTGTATAACAGATTTGTGTGTATATAATTTATTTATTTTTGTATTTTTTAAAAGTCATCCCCATTGCTGTAGTTTTAAACCATTAGCAATGTAAAGGCATATCCAGAGTTGGCTGGAATTGGGCTGCCAATTTTTTTCTAGAGGGACTATAGGAGCACAAATGAGAATCCCCCCCCCCAATCTATCAAATGCAACTGTTCAGCCTCTCCACTGCAGGGAAAAATCAATGAAAATATTGTTATTTCTTTTACAGAATTTCTCTACAGGCTTGTCAAAACACCTTTGGGTGCTGTACTATCTAAAAGTATGAAGATGTAAACCATCCATCTTCTGAAAATCAATCTCCATCAATTCCCCCTCCCACAAAAGCAATCTATTAGCTTCTCTCACCATAAAAATATCAGAATGTAATGAGTAAAAGTGATCCAATCACAATCAGACCTGTTGAAATGCCAAGAGCAAAGGGACCAGACACACCCTTGGGAACATGTTGCACAACAGCAGAACCATGGAGAAGGCTATTTCCTGGCCCAAATATCTTTCATTTCTGGTAGAGATGAGATCTTAAATAGGCCCTCTGAGGATTATGTCATACAAGGCATAGAATCCTTCGGAAGAAAGGCAGTCTCAAGTGTAACTTCTGCTAGTAGTTACTGTGAAACCTGTTGATTACATGGGCATTGTTATATAGGGTTTTGGAAGCAACAATGGGGAAGTGGTCTACCATTTACACCTTTGAGGACTCCCCCCCTCCCAGTTTTCCAATTTAGCCTATGAAGACAGCAAATGCAACGATTAAGGTTCCAGGGCTAAAAACTGTCAGACTGTGAATTCTTGTCCAACTTTAGGCGTGAAGCCAGTTAGGTCACATTGAGCCACTCCCTCTCAGCTATAGGAAGCAGGCAATGACAAACCACTTCCGAAATGTTGCCAAGAAAACTGCAGGGATTAGTTCATGCAATCTCCAGGAGTCAATACTGACCTGAAGACAGACAGACAGACTAGAAAGAGACACAGACAGACAGACAGACAGACAGACAGGTAGACAGACAGACAGACACAGAGTGTTTGGTCTTGAAGTAAAGTCAGATTTGATTTGTACTTGATGAAAGACAAGAAGAAAGCCTAAGAAAAGTCACTAGAAGCAATTATAAAAACACCACTTTAAGAGGTAGAGGCTTTACTTTATATACATAAATAACACATAATGAAGATCATTGAGCCTAACAGTAAGAAATGTTAATTCACTCTTTCCCACCTGCCCTTTTGTTTTCTCTGCCTCTGCTTTGAATCAGCTGAAATCTTGGAAAGTGTTAAAAAAAAAAGGAAGAAAGTTACAGTAATCCTTATGATTTCCTGCCAACATTCATATCTTCCCATCTTGCTGCAAATTTCTTTAGCTGTTCATGCCTCCTTTTGTAAAAATACCGCACACACAGTTTTGACACTATCAATCTGTTCTGGTCTTGAACCAGCCACCTCAGGAATGAAAAGTTCATTTCAGCACATGGTGAAGGAAGCAAAGAAGAAGACAAATAGCATCTGCCTGGGTGCTATCAGAGTACAGCATTTTTTTAAAGGACTCCAGCAATGCTTTTTGGCAACCACTATATGCATGGATTATGTGGTATAGAAGGATTAAGCAAGCTGACATATGGTTGCTATAATTCCTGTGAGGGCCTGTGTATTTAATCTTAGGGGTGTCTATTTATAAAATCTGAACAGAGTTAAATCATAAACTGTATGATGGGGATTTCTGTTATATGGATGGAAAATAAGAACATTATGATGGCATTTCATCAGCAGCCAATAAATTGTAGTTCTAAGATTCTTCTACAGAAAGAGAGAACTGCACAACAAACTGTATAAACAGCTTATACAATTTTATCCAAGGAAAAAAATATCCACTTCTAAAGCGAGAGAAGCTCACTGTTCAACATGACACAATCTACAAGGAAAGAGGTATGATAGACTTATATACAATAAATTATTTCCTTTAGAGGTCTCTCCCCTATTTTTAAATTAATCATAAATTCAGCTCAATACACAATAAAAACTTTCAAATATACTGAAGCTTGTAAATCATGATCTGAACTTTAAATATTATGGCCCCAAAAAAGGTAGAGGAAGGTATCGATAAGACCAAACCTAGAATACAGTACTGCATCCAGGTCTGGTCACTACAATATAAAAAAGATGTTGAGACTCTGGAAAGAATGTGGAGAAGAGCAACAAAATGATTAGGGGACTGGAGGCTAAAACATATGAAGAACGGTTATAGGAATTGGGTATGTCTAATCTAATGAAAAAGACTAGGGGTGACATGATAGCACTGTTCCCATATTTGAGGGGCTCCTACAAAGATGAGGGGGTCAAGTTATTTCCAAAGCACCAAAAGGCAAGACAAGAAACAATGGTTGGAAACTAACCAAAGACAGAGGCAACCTAGGACTATGGAGAAATTTCCTAACGGTTACAAGAATGAACCATTGGAGTCGCTTGTCTTCAGAAGTTATGGGTGCTCCATGACTGGAGGCTTTCAAAAAGAGACTGGACAACCATTTGTCTGAAACGGTATAGGGCAGAGGTCCCCAACCTTTTGGGCACCAGGGACCGGTTCCGTGGAGAGAGGTTTTTCCATGGACCAGAGAGTGTGTGGTTTTGTGTGCTGTCTGCATCCAGTGAATGGGGCTTTGCTTGTTTGTGCAGACCGGTTACTGACAAGCTGTTGCCAGGTACTGGTCTATGGACCGGGGGTTGGGGACCCCTGGTATAGGGTCTCTTGCTTGATGAATGGGCTAAACTAGAAGATCTCTGAGGTCCATTCCAACTCTATTATTCTATGTTCTATTTTCTATTATGTTTACCCATCCCTGTGCCTACTAATGAATATGATGCTCCCTAAAAACATTAATGTGTTTCCAGATTGCTTCCTTGTTATTTGCTTTTAACCACAAATTTGAATGAAACTTTAAATTTGCAGCAGCAGTCACCCAGTCTCCCAAGCCTCCTGAGAACTTGTCAGCATGAAGTTTACAGAACGAGCCTGACCTTATATATTCCAAAAAGAGAAGGGACATACAGCTTCCATAACTAAAGTGTGAAAGCCAAAAAGGACAACGTGAATGATACAGAGAACACTGTGCTCCGAATAAATGAATGAATCCGAGAGCAGCATATGTTGTAAATCCAGCAGGCAGGAAAGCTGAATCCTGCTATTACAAACGATAATGAAAAAGAGAGGAAAATTAAATAGATCCTTCTACTCAGAAAGCAAGAATAATAGATAGTGAAGAATATTACTTGACACGACAATAGATGCAATTTATTCCCTATGTTAAACATCTGTCAGAGTTCTCTATTTCTATTTTTTTTAAGCAAATAAGATCCATACTGCCTTTTAAAATTAATATTTAATTTTACTTCTTCAGCAGAAACCTAAAATAAATCTAACCCACAGGCTTGGCAATGTTGATGAAGCTCCAGTTGCAGGTAGCTTCAGGCTGACTGCTGCAACCGATCAAGTCGAATAATTCCAACAGTCATGTACTGCTCCATATAATCATTTGTCACTGTACTGAATCTATATGTACCATTCTTGCTCCCTCCTCTTCCTCATTATCTCTGTTTCCCACTTATGCATTGGATGAGACATAGAGGGAGGGAGGGAGGGAGGGAGGAAGGGAGAGCACCAAAGTTCAGGTCACCGATATAACACCAATACCACAGACATTTTTTTTAAAAAATGGGCATCTCAAAGGATTATAGCAATAAGTAGATTGATAGGTTAGCATCAATCTTATCTCAAAAAAATAAATAAAAATAAACAAAAGGATTGTTAGCCTTCTAGCTTACACTGTAGGGAAAAAAACATTCAATCAGCCTTAATAAATTCACCAATAAATGCGAGTTTAGTGTATTTGGTTTCCAAGATTGGGTATCTTTATATATTATCTTTTGAACAATGCAGTAAACCTAATTAATGAGATCACTGTGACTCTCTTTTTTCTGGATTGTACTATGCTGTTAGAAACTTGATACATACCTAAAATAACTCAGAGGTGGGCAAACTGCAGTCTCTGGATTTCACTCAGCAATTCCCTTTGATATTTCCTCAAAACAATGATTTTGAAAACTGGCAGCATAGATTCTTGCCATTTTGAGGGGGTAAACATGTGAAAAATTGCACTATAATCCCTCATATATGCATCAGTCCAAAACTAGGATCCACCCACTATGTGTAATTTGATCCTATCTATTTTTAGCTCTTATCCCCACCATTAATTCTGGGCTTTGGTCCCCTCAAAGGTGTCCAAGAATGACAAAGATCATTCTTGCCTTTCCATGAGCTCCTTCTAGAGCAAGAATGGGGCGTTCCTTGTTTAAAAAAAAAAGATTTATTTGCATTTTCTAATCTGGTACGGGTTGTAGAGGCAGGAATTGGTGGGGCTTAATATCACTCATCTGACTCTTCCTAGAACAGCAAAGCATCCTGTTTTGCCTTATTCCTCACTTCTGTCCTCTTTCCCATGTAGCAATAGCAAAGCTGTTGTAAGAACCACACTAGTGACTAGGTTTGAAGTACTTTGAACACATTGAAATGCTGAAAGAATCTTAAGAATTATTGTCAGGCAGCAAATTAAAATTGCTGTGGTGAGCTACTAAGAGTTGTTTACGATGGACAGCCATACATTTTTTTAAAAAAAAAACAAAGGTAAAGGGACAGAGGGCAAAACTCATCTATTCATGAAGGTCCTGTATATTGTGTAGTGGGCTTCAACAGGCAAGGAGCAGACCAGCATAGTTACAACGTTATTTATTGACTCAAACTAAACTGGAGAACTGCAGGCAATTGCTTGTAATTTATACTCTAAGCCCAAGGACCTTAATCAATCACAATACTTGAAAAACCCGCCCAAATACGAATGTTCAAAGTTTCCCTCCAAAACAGTTGCAGTTAACAGTCAGGGTCATAAAGGTTAGTTTCATTTTAGCTTCACAAGCAGTTGGAGTTAAGTTAGTTTCACTTTAGCAGGGATTAACACAACTTCATATATATGTTCAATACATAACACTGTACACAAGATTGTTGGCTCATTCTGAGAGACTTCAAAGTTTTATTGGCTTTCAACCCTGCCAATCAATTGCTTACCTGAGACCTTTAGGCTAAAACTATCAGAACCTTTCTGATGAAAGCGGTGTTGTGCCATCCTTCTTCAAAATCCAAAATCCATTCCTTTTGCATTTGTAGGCAATGTTGTGATGCAAGTGTGAAAGGGGTGGCTCTTAGAGCAGGACAATAGGAGGCTGCTTTTGTCAGATCGACCTGCTTGACCCCCAGTAACAGACATTAGTGGCTAGATCAGAGATGTTTCTTGATGAACAAGCCACTGACATTCACAAACAGAAGCTAAACTATAAACTGGTTTACAAACCACAGGAACTTGGCAAAATCCAAACCAACCATATTAAGGCTTTGCAGAATGCGTCATCTTTAGAGCTTGGGGCAATGTTGCACCAGCTTTGAATTCAAGCTCTAAGGCAAAGCAGTCAAGAGAAACCTGGATTTGAATCTTGCTCTCCCCTGAGCAGTTTCTGGGCTGCTGAATACCTTGAAGCAAAGACTCCAAAACCAGAGGAGCGGTACTTAGCTTTGTGTTCTACATTCACTTTTCAGATAAAATACATACCAAACTACATGTACTTATTTGGAAAGAAGTCCTTTTGGCATTCTGAGATTACATTGTCCGTTGCCCTTTCCTCATTTCCTCTTTGTGTGTGATTGCTACATAGTAGCTACACAATATTTTGATGCTCTTTCCTTTTACTATGTTTTTGCAGTCTGCTGTAAAATCAGGCTGGCCTGTGGGCCCTGTAGCTGCCACTTCAGGCAATTGCTTCCAAAGTACACAGTGAGTAATTTCCTTGTCTCCAGTCTTCCTCTTTTCTGTCTACACTTTGCCTTATTTTTAAGGGCTGAATGTTTATGGGAGATCTACTTAAAAAAAAGACCAACATAACTTCTTAGGTCACAGATTTGCTTTACTTAGATCCTCACAAATCCCTACTCCCAAGTAAATGCAGTACACTTACTAAAAAGTAGGCAGATCAACCACTCTCAAAATGTTTCACTACAGGGCTTGTATAGCTACAATTCAGAAGCCAGTTGCTGTTTCTTAAAAAAGCTTCCCAACAGCAAACTCTTCTGGAGTGATGATAATTCTGAACAGCAGATGCATCATTTCAGAATGAAGGACATTATGTGATTGTTCCTGAGAAATGCCCGAGTCTCCATTTATTGTGATGTATTTATTTACTTTATTTTTAGAATTTTTTATCCTGCCTTTTATAAATAATTCAAGATGGCTAACATGCCTGGTACAGAAGTATTAAACACAGAATTAAAACAAATAGATTTCCTAATTACTTTTGACTTGATCTACTGGGGGTCTGTCAAATTTCTGGATACAGCAAGATTGCTCCCCCTCTCCTTTTTATTCCAATATGGCTTTTCTTTATTTTCCTCAATGTTATTTTACATTTCAGCTTTGTACAAGCTGGAGCTGCAGAACCAGATTTTCTTGATTTATCTTCTGGAAAACCTTCAAAACACTTACAAAACACTTACATCTGGGAGGCCCGCGGGGGGGGGGGGGGACATCAAAGGGTCAAGGTGGTGCTGTGATTGCAGGTGAAGCCTTGTCCCTTTTGTATGGGCATAAAAGGTTCTTCTATCAACACAATATACAACGTGATTAAAATGAAGAAGATGTAAATGGATTTTAACTTAATTTCACCACCTTAAAATCTCTTGAAGACATGTTTCTGTTGTAGATGTCCAATAAAAGAGAGGGAGGCTGGATTCAGAAATCATGCCAAGCCAAGATCTGCTTTAAATGATGGTTTTCCATTATGTTAAGCCCAAATGAAAAAAAAAAAAATCACATTCTATGTTAGTACAAAATAAAGTTAGTATTTTTGGAGACCGTAGACAGCCATCTTTAAGATAGTTCACTCTTACAATACGAAGGGTTCTTTTTAGAAATATATGGATTTCTTGGGGACTTACTACTTGCATTAACTGGCTATTCCTCACTATTGTTATAAAATATTTTATATTAGTCTATGTCAGGCACAAATAATCAGATTCACATGCAAAGAGTTCAAATAGCTGGGTGCTCCATAATTGGAGGTTTTTAAGAAAAGACTGGACAACCATTTGTCTGAAATGGTATGGAGCAGGGGTCTTCAAACTCAGCCTTTTTATGACTCATGGACTTCAACTCCCAGAATTCCTCAGCCAGCATGCCTGTTTGAAGACCCCTGGTATGGAATTTCCTGCTTGAGCAGGGGATTGGACTAGAAGACCTCCAAGGTACCTTCCAACTCTGCTATTGTTCTGTTCTGTTCTGTTCTGTTCCGTTCTGTTCCATTCTATTCTCTTCTCCCTGGCTCGGCTAGACTCTCTCCAACAGTTTACATTAGTTTATAGTATTACAACAATTTTCACTTAGGATAAAAAGGGTATCTTTTAATCTGAATGCATATCTAGATTAAATGCATATTTAATCATTTTGTCTCTCACTGCTATTGTTATCCCAAGGGACAAAAAAATCATTGTGACGATTTTTTTTTTTAAAAAAAAATGGCTCCAAAGCAAAGCCTTTGAACCTTGCTGAGAATGTTAACCACAACCAATCCTCTTATGATAGCCACTCCCTTCAGCCCTTTAAATCCTATGGGGAGATGTGAAACAGGAGGCTATAAAAAGGAAGGGGAATTGCTCTCTTCCAAATCTTTCAGTGGCATGACTTTGTTAGATTTTACTGACCATCTCCTGATTAAATCTTCCTCCCACTTGTCACAACATCTGATAGGCCTCGTTGGCTAAAGTACTTTCAGAAGGCACATTCTGTCTATGGGTTGCTGCTGCTGCAATTAATTGCCAGTTGAGAGGATGTATTCTCAGCTGGTCCAATCTGGGCAGATGAAATGAGTGAATCTGCAGATTTTTGTAACAGTGCCATAAAATTAAATTGCATTTTATTGTGATGGGTTTCAAAATGCATAGGCCCTCTGTCCACTTAATTAGAAAATAGTGCAAACAACAGATACAAGAAGGCAGTTGGTGCATTTCACTTTCCCGAGGAACTTTTTTTCCTTTCAGCTTCTAATTATTGGCACAGTTTATGTTTATGACATTTGGAAAAAATGATAAGGTAAGGTCACTCAAAATGGTGTAGCTTTTGTATTCAGGTCACTTAAGCGTCGCATTGTACAGAACTAGAAGTAACTCAGCTGAATCTGAATAAGGCCACCTCTCTTATGTTTGTCACAAATAACTATCCCACAAATAACTATGCTACAATCATGAACCTAGGTGGAAATCTTGATTCTTTTGAGTTGGGGTACCAGAATTCCAAAAGCAGAATAGTGAAATTTGAATCAGGTGTATATGCAGATGTCTACAGGTAGTCCTTGACTTACAACTATTCATTTAGTGACTGTTTGAAGTTACAATGGCACTGAAAAAAGTAACTTATGGCTGGTTTTTACATTTTCTACTGTTGCAGCATCCCCATGGTCATGTGATCAAAATTCTGGTGCTTAGCAACTGGCATGTATTTATGACAGTTGCACTGTCCTAATGTTATGTGATCACTATTTGTAACCTCCCAGCTGGCTTCTGACAAACAAAGTCAATGGGGTATATGTTGGGGGGGGGGGAAACCAAATTGTCTTAATGACCACATGATTCATTTAACAACTGCAGGGATGCATTAATGGCAGAAATTTTCTGTGAACTTGTTATCTCTGAAAAGTTCTTCAGAAAATGATTATTAGTACAGAAAGTCATCTGTGAGGATTTGGCAACATTCTTGGAAAGGAAAGGCTCAGTGGATGCACCTAGTAGATGTCTGAAGACTGCCAAAAATTAAATTGAGAGAAAAAATAGAAAGAAAGAGAAAGAAGAATGATGAATGTTGCCATGACTTAAACTTCTCTGAAAACTTTGCCTACTGCCTTATAGTGATATTTATGAGGGTTCCTTTCAGCCATTTTGTGGTGAAGGAACTTTACTCTGTATCTGCTCAGAGTAATCCTTTCATCTATTTTTATTTCATAGATTTCAAGTTTGAGCTTTTCTAAACAAAGATTTAACCATGAAATAAATTCAGATCTGTTTTGGACTCTGTTTATTTAGAAGACATATTTTCTATAGCATGGCTAGAGCAAAAAACCAATTTTGATTGGTTTAAGTCTCTTGAGAAACTATGAAAAAAGGAAACCACTTAGGAGAAATCATGCTGAGTGAAAATGTGATTTATGGTAAAGAAATGTATGTTGACATTCTTAATGAACTTTGTAACATAAGTTCTGACATATTAAATGGGCTGTAAAAGTCCCAAATTTGTTGGTATAACAACTATACCATTGACTGAATCATGTTCTTGCATAGTTAAAAATCTTGGCAAATAGATTGTGTCAGTTATAGGTATGTATAACTTTGGAATCTCCACTGAAATGGGACAAAGTTAGTTAGGAGTGCTAAAGATAAGAACAAGCCCATAGGGAGGGTGAATCTGTCAGTCATAATTTTATTCAGTTTCTCATTATCCAAGTTTGTTCTGTTTTAGTTCTGCATCAACTTGCAATTGTTAAAGTAGCTCAAATGAAGATTCATACATAATATTGTGTGCATTTCTCCTAATATTTGGATTTTTCTAAGTTACATAATTTTGCACAAATGTTCTCTCTAATATAATGTATATTTGTATGTGGTATTTATTAGTTCGTTTTGGACATTTTGAGCTGCAAATTATTTCACAGATTTTATGAAAGTATATGACCATGCTTTGATTTGCATATGTTACATGAGCAAATTCACTTTAAAATTCAAAACAAAAGGATATCTTCCCTATCGCCTGGATCAGGGGTCCCAACTCCCAGGCTGTGGACCACTATCGAGCTGTGGCCTCTTTGAAACCGGGATGCTCAAGTAATGGGCAAGTAGTGGACCCTTGCGCTCATGTATAAAGTTCCCCTCATGTGAGCAGAGGGCACTTGCTTCACACATGAGCATTCTCTGCTTGTATGAGTGGAGCTTCGTGCAAGCATAAGCATCCTCCACTCAAGCGCCCTTTGCTTGCATGAGTGGAGCTTTGCATGCGAGCACAAGCACCCTTCACTCATATGTGAAACTCTATTTGTGCAAATGGAGTGGGTGCGCACCCGTTGCTTGCACCAATGGAGCTATGC